GTACTATGGCGTCACAGCTCACAGCAACCTCAAACTCTTGGGCTTAAGCAATTCTCGTCTCAGCCTCCCAGGTGGCTGGGACTACAGGCACCTTCCACACCGGCTGGCTGTTTTAGAGATGAGATCTTGCTCCGGCTCAGGTTGGTCTCGAATCTGTGAGCTCAGGCAATCTACCCACCTCGACCTCCCCGAGTGCTGGGATTACAGGCATGAGCCACCTTACCCGGCCCTACCTCAGGTATTATAAATTTGTCATTTGGTATTATTTTTTTCCGTGTGTTTACTATTTAGCTTAGTTAGCTTCTAAAAATTCTGTTCACTCTGTTTTCTTCTAATTATGGCAAGTACATGAATTCAGTTTGTAGCCAACCAGAATACAGGGCACATATCAGTTTCTTATAAACTTAAAGTTGACATTGAGTACCTATGATGTGTGAAATACTTTAAATTCATTAGCTTTTATTTTCACAAGAAACCATAAGAAAATTCTAAAAACTAACACTCTAAAGTAAAGACACTTGGCCTCAAGGAAACAAAACGACCCTTATGCCTGGCAAAATTTGACTGTAACTTGGTTGCTTATAATAATACTGCTGGAGAAAAGCTATATCAAGAGGAGAGATTTTACAACCACAGTCACATTATTAAAGGACATTAACTTTCTGAGCCTGTTCAAGCACTTAATCTTGAAGTACATGAACTTCAGGCACAACTAAAGAGAAGCCTCATCAGCCAATTCCCTCCTCCAGAGAAAAATGAAGTACAGTAATATTGTAGGTGCCACAGCAGGTGTCCTCAAACTACAGCCCCAGGGCCACATGCAGCCCACTGGGTGTTTGTGCCGCTGCCTGTCTTGCTTAGCAGCCGACTGGTCCTGGTGCCTGCAGTCTGGCCCTCCAGTGGGTCTGAGCGACAGTGAACTGGCCCCCTGTTTAAAAAGTTTGAGGAACCCTATGCCACAGCCGTGCTGGAGCAATGGCTCTCTCACGGGTCTGTCTCAGCAACAGCGCCAGGGCCCTTTTCTTCCACTGCACTGCTGCCATCCCTGATTAATCATGTGCCTTAAGAGCAGGTGCCTACAGTACCACCTGATTAGGTATTTCTAGAGCTATATAGTCAACTGATTTAATCATTCTTAGACCTGAAACAGAGTGATAGATAAGAAAATAATAAAGTAAAAAACCTTAAATAAGCTTTGTTTCCTAATGCAGGTCCCTTGTACAATTTAACCACCCAACCTCATTATTTTTTTAAGCAATGGAGTTTTTCTGTGTTGCCCAGGCTGCCCTTGAGCTCCTAGACTCAGGTGATCCTCTGGTCTCAGCCTTTCATGTCCCTGGGACCATTGGCATGCACCACCATACCAAACCTGGTCTCTCTTCTGACTAAAATGAAACTTTGTTTTTTATGCATCTTAAAAATAAGGTTACCAACATCTCCCCATCGTTAGGACTGTAGCTAGAAGAGAGGATTTTGATCATTCCTAACACACACGAAACAATGCTTGAGCTGATGCCTATGTTGATAACCCTGATTTGATCGTTACACATTGCGTACATGTATCAAAATATCACACCCCTTAAATATATAAAATTATGTATCAGTTGAAAAATTTAAAATACAAAAGTAAAAATAAAATAAAAAGGTTACCAAATTCTGTTAGGTGCATCATTTTTAACCATATAATTCAGGCATCTGGAGTGGTGCTTGCGGCCTCTCATTACTGCCTGCTGGGCACTGCACATGCTGCCGTCCACTCAGTGGCTCTGAGCTGGCCTCTCTTCCTCATGGGTAGGTGAGGTTGGTGAGGTGAGTGGGGACAGACTGAGGCTGTCTATTTAGCCAGAGGAACATTGGAAGCTTCCCTTTACTATGAGCTTTAACATATATAGTGTACATCTGGCGTAGTCTGATCAGTACAACTCTGAGTTATAAAAGCAAATTATAAATCAGACCTCTTTACTGTGTCAACTAAGAGACCTTTTAGCTGTGTGTCCTGGCTCACACCTGTAATCTTCACAATTTTGGAGGCTGAGGCAGGAGGCTTACTTAAGGCCAGCCTATGCAAGAGCATCTCTATAAAACATAGAAAAATTAGTTGAGCATAAGTGTTGGGCACCTGTAGTTCCCACTATTCAGGAGTCTGAAGCTTGAGCATCGCTTGAGCCCAGGAGTTTGAGGTTGCTGTGAGTTGCGAAGAGGCCACTGCACTCAGACCAGGGTCACAGAGTGAGAACTTGTGTTGAGCCAAAAAAGCCTTTTGATTGCTCCTGTCTATAATTTGCAAATGTGTATTATTATGCTATAAATTAATGTTAATATAGTTATTTAAACCAGGCAAAATATTCTCACGACAACAAAGTATTATCTGTAGAAAAAGTGAAATGTGCCATGAAAGAGATAAGAATTGTCCATGCTGCCGTCTGGCTCTTTGACTGACATTTCAGACATGGTTGTTTCAATAATTGAACATATTCCAGAAGGCACAATCTTAAAATTATTTAACAAATCCTTCAGTGATTATGTATAAAATAATGACATGTTGCTTATCCTTCATTACAGTAAAACCCTGAGTATGCTGAAGAAATGTGGAGAGTGACTTCATTGGGAAAAGACTTTTTACCTTTCTGGGGGAGGAGGATTCTCTTAAATTGCTTTCATCACTCGGACACTTAAAACTTTAAACCCTGTTTAAAAAGAAAACAGAGGGCAGTGCCTGTGGCTCAGTGGGTAGGGCGCTGGCCCCATATACCGAGGGTGGCAGGTTCAAACCTGGCCCCAGCCAAATTGCAACAAAGAAGTAGCTGGGCATTGTGGCAGGTGCCTGTAGTCCCAGCTACCGGGGAGGCTGAGGCAAGAGAATCGCCTAAGCCCAGGAGTTGGAGGTTGCTGTGAGCTGTGACGGCACAGCACTCTACCAAGGGTGATAAAGTGAGATTCTGTCTCTAAAAAAAAGGAGATAAAGAAAGGAAAGAAAACAGAAAATATGTCTGGTTAGAGCAAAAAAATGCTCTAGAAGGAACATGCCAAAAGAAAAAGTCAGGTCAGTCTAGGTAACTTTCACACATTCCCAGCTAAGGATTCATTTCTCCAAGCTTTCTATGTACAACTCTGGGAGGAGCTTTATATTTTGCTTTAATAAAATAGACTTTTATTTATATTAGGAGAAAATATAGTTTCTAATTAAATAAAAAGTAAAATGACACTATTTACTGTGTTGACTTTTGCAAGGTCACATAGCAAGTCTGTAGAGCAACTCACGGTTATTAAAAGAGCATGATTCTTAGCCGGGTGGTATGGTAAACGCCTATAGTCCCAGCTACGTCGGAGGCTGAAGCAGGAGGATCACTTGAGTCCAGGAGTTTGAGGTTGCTGCGAGCTGTGATGCCACAGCACTCTACCAGGGGTGACAGAGTGAGACTTTGTCTCAAAAAAAAAAAAAAAAAAGTACATGGTCCTGTAAATCTATGTTCTACATAGCATAGATCCATAACTTACTACAGATCAGAGGATTATGCCAGAAAATGACATGTGCAAATACATCTACATGTAATATATTTTAGCACTAATGTCCTGTAAAATACTAGCAATCAATACAGTATTTTTTTTTCTGTGTGGGACATTCTCTAAGTGCTTTACATATACAGATCCACAATTCCAAAATAAAAAAAGTTCTAAGGCCAGGTATGATACCTCACGCCTGTAATCCCAGCACTCTGGGAGACTGAGGCAGGTGGATTGGCCTGAGCTCAGGACAAAGAAAATAGAAAAACTGAGGCAAGAAGATTGCTTGAGCCCAGGAGTTGGAGGTTGCTGTAAGCTATGATGCCACGGTACTTTACTAAGGGCGACAAAGTGAGACTCAGGCTCCGAAAAAGAAAAAGTTCTACAAAGTAAAAGCATTTTTCATAAATTTGTCTGAACTCAATTTAGTGATAAAACATGACCTGAATTTATTTAAGGCTACTTATAGTGTTTATTTATCTTATTTAATCTGAATATTCATTTCTTTCTTGCTGAAATATGAATGTGCTTGATTGTAGGGTACCACTCCAGCTGCTACTGGTTCTGAATGTTGAGTGAACATCTAGCTTTATTGAATTATAAATTATATATTTTCTCTGTCTTCAGGCAGCATCCTTTGTTTTGAAGAAGAAAAGTTGTTTACTTTTTTTAAATTTTATTTTATTTTATTTTTTTTGAGACGGAGCCTCAAGCTATCCCCCTGGGTAGAGTGCCATGGCATCACGCTCACAGCAACCTCCAACTCCTAGGCTCAAGCGAGTCTCCTGCCTCAGCCTCCCAAGTAGCTGGGACCACAGGCGCCCGCCACAGCGCCTGGCCAATTTTTGGTTGCAGCCATCATTGCTGTTTGGCAGGCCCGGGCTGGGGATTCCGCCACCTTAGGTGTATGTGGCTGGCGCCTTAGCCACTTGAGCCACAGGCGCCAAGCCTTTAAATTTTATTTTAAGAAAATCACTATTTTGCATAATTTTCCACATGCTTTTCAGCTTTGCTGAAGTGATCAGAATAAATGTTGGAATAGGCTACTGTTGTATACACTCAGAATACAGGCCTTTGATTTTCAATAGAAAAAAATCTGTGTTCGTTTTATCTTTGTTTCCTTCTGTTAGAAACTTACTGCTAAGTTAGTTAGACTTATTTCTCAGTTTTTTAGTAAGTCTACCAAAGTAGTACATTTCCAATAAAGGGAACAGAGATGCATATTCGTACTTGGAATTGTGGCTCTGCACATGTAAAGCTGTTACCTAATGGGAACAGTTGGTATTTCTGCAAGTGTATAAAGGGGACAGTTGGTATTTCTGCTTAGTTGTTGGACTCCTAGCCCTGTTCACTGTTAACCTTTGTGTTAAGTGGAAGAGTACTAGGACTCTCCCTTTCAGTTATACCTTTGGAAATCTTGTTTTTAATAGCACTTTTCTTTCTTGGCTTGCATGACATTTTTTCTTTCTTTTCCTTTCTTTTTGCCGTTTGCAAAGACTCTTGGGAGGATTTGACAGATTTGGTGGAGCAAATGCGTGATGATACAGAAGGTGCGTGCCACACCAACATCTTTCAGCTTTTTTTCCCTTGGTTTTTAAAATTTTCTAATCACCTTTTATTTGTTCTCCGTAAGAGGGAATGTCAGCTTCAATTTTTATTTCCCATGGCAGTAACTGGGAGATCTTTGTGTTTATGGTTCCAAGTAAAATGACTAATGTTTATTTACACTGCTTTTTTAGGATATTTGTTGAATAAAGTGTATAAAGGGGACATTATTTCAAGATTACATCAAGTTTTTCTATGGCTTTTTTTTTCATTTGTTTGTTGAAAAGTTGTAAGTTTTATTACTCATGTAAATATGTCTGTTAAATTTCACAGCAGTCAAAAACAAACATCTCAGGAATCTAAAATGTTTGATCTGAAATGTTGCTCTAATTTGTAGATTTCTATGACCCTGTATACTTTTAACTTTGTCATGTAATAGCCTTCTTTTCTGGTGGAATTGTCTTGAAAAGCATCTCATATGTTCTGTTGTGTCAGTTACCTCAAACCAGTAATTGTTGCTTCTGTTGTCATGGCATCTGCTTTTAGGGAGCGCAGTGTGAATTACATATTCCATATCAAGAATAGAAGAATTGGGGTTGCTGTCCTCTTCAGTGTATCGTACATCCTCCCACTTAGCCCAGGCAAAGTGAGGGCAGAGACTGTCTTGAGACAGGGCGGTGCTGTCCTCAGTATGTGGGTCATGGCGGGCACTTTCCCTCCCTGTCACAGGGCACGGGCACTTTCCCTCCCTGTCACAGGGCATGGACACTTTCCCTCCCGGGTCACAGCACATAGGCACTTTCCCTCCCTGGGACGCTCAGGAGTGTCTCTTTAGCACTTCCCTTTGAATGAGTAAATTATGATCCTGAATTTGTTTCCTTTCTGGTGGTCAAACTACTTTTGATGCCATCTTTGATTCTGCTTTTATAATTGATTATATATAATTCCTTGAGAGAACCAGTCACTGTTGTCTGATTGACAGTTCATATACCTGAACAAAAGTGCGTAATGTTCACTGTTACATTAGCTGCTGCCTTATTATTAACATCATCATTATTATTTACCAGGCACCCTCAGGTTTAAGGCTTTAATTCTTTTAATAGACTAGATAGTAAAGAAAAGTGCTACTGTAAAATCTGTGCCCTTCTTGAGGACTTTGTCCCCATAGTTCAACACGGGCAGAGTTCCTTTACTCTAACACAGAGTCGAGCCTCCTGTGAGACCCAGCCTTCCCTATCTCATTTTGTTTTTCTCGAGTTTTTGTGAATAGTTTTAACAGTATAGTACGGAACATACCAAGGAGATGTGAATTGTGTCAGTAACTTGGTGGTCTTAGTAGATTACTGGTCAAGTGGGTGTCTGGCTTTGTTGGTCAGGATAGTGTGTCAATGGAATAGTCTTCCTGGAATATACTTAAAAAAAAAATCAGGCTTGGCATCTGTAGCACAGTGGTTGTGGTGTCACCCACATATACCCAGGCTGGTGGGTTCCAGCACAGCCCGTCCAGCTAAACAATGACAACTGCAACAAAAAAAAGCCAGGTGTTGTAGCCGGCTCCTATAGTCCCAGCTACTTGGGAGACTAAGGCAAGAGAATTGCTTAAGCCCTAGAGTTTAAGGTTGCTGTGAGCTGTGACGTTATGGCACTCTACACAGGGCGACATTGTGAGACTCTGCCTCAAAAAAGAAAAATCAGAATGGGGGGAGGAGAATAGCTTTACTTGCTAACCTTTTTGAGTCATTTCATTCTTGTTTTCCTTAAATCATTTTCTACTTCTCTCAACTCAAGGCCTCAATCATAGTTACATGAAATGCTGCTAGAATTATACTGTATTACATAACTCAGAGATTCTGTGAATGAGTAGCAGTAGGAGGAGCTTCGTGTTGTGGAGAGCTGCCTACATGTGAAAGGTGTGCACAGCAGTTCAGGCTGGGGGAGGATCCTGGCTTCAGACCCTGAGCCAGCGAGGGCGTATGCGGGCACTGCTCTCACGGGGGACTCTCACTGCTGGATTGTTGGAGTTCTGTCTCTCATCTGTGACTGTGGATGTGCCATTATTGGCTTTTTAATAGGTGAAGTATTAACACTAGGTTCTGGCATCCTGAAAGATTGCTATTTAAAATAACCTCTAGTCAGTTGTAGATTTGAACTAATTTTGGGGTTTTTTTTTTAGATACAGAGTCTCACTTTATTGTCCTCGGTAGAGTGCTGTGTCATTACAGCTCACAGCAGCCTCCAACTCCTGGGCTTAGGTGATTCTCTTGCCTTAGTCTCCCAAGGAGCTGGGAGTACAGGTGCCCACCACAACGCCCAGCTATTTTTTTTTTTTTAGTGGGTTCAAACACGGCCCCAGCCAAACTGCAACTAATTTTTTTTTCCCCAAGTTTTGGCAAGGTTGAAGCTTTTGTTTGAATGGTTTCTTACAGTGGTAATTGGTTCATGTTCAATGTGCATATAAGCTGTGTCGAGTAGAATATGAACTATTGTCTTCATAGGGTGGCATTGATTGATTATCTTATATCTCCCTCACATGTTAGTAATTTGTGTCCAAAAATGTTTCAAAAATGGGCAAATCACTTGAGGCAAGGAGTTCAAAATCAACCTGAGCAACAGTGAAAGCTCATGGACAAAAAATAAAAAAAAAAGCTGGGCGTTGTAGCAGGCACCTGTAGTCCCAGCTTGAGAGTATCGCTTGAGCCCAAGAGTTTGCTGTTGCTGTGAGCTAGGCTGATGCTTGGGACTCTAGCCTGAGTGACAGCACAAGACTCTGTCTCAAAGAAGAAAAAAAAATGTTTTGAAACTCATTAGGAAAATTATGAATATTAGATAATAAGAAGCACATAGTTTATTACTTTTAGTTTCTCAATAAATATTTAATTCCTATCTATTCTCATAACAAACTTTGAAACAGGTTTTGTGAATTTGCTTTCTACCCATCTCTCTAAGGATTGAAATGGTCAGGCATGCTTGAATTTAGGAAATAATATACCTGTGTAAACTATTACCTGCAGAGTTGTATTCTTACTCCTTGACATGGAGGGTGGGGCATGGAGTTAAGACATTATGTTCACTATTATTGGAAAACAGAAAGAACATATTGAGACATTGTCTCAGCTTCTAGAGCTGGGCCCCATGAATTAAACAAAATTGCTGTATTTATGGAAGATGGGAGTAAGTGTATTAACTGACAATTTCTAGTTCTTAGTATGCTTAAGCACTTGTAAATGCTTACCACATTGAACGTGTTTAATCTTCAAGACCCTATAACATCATTTCGTAGGTGAGGAAAGTAAAGCAGACAGAGGTTAAGAAACTTTCTCAGTGGGATACTACTCAGCAGTTATAAAGAACAATCTACTGATAATATGCCGCAACCTGGATGACTCTCCAGAGAATTAAGCTCAGTTAAAAAAAAAAGCCCAATTTAAAATATTACATTATACATAACTGTGTGATTCCATTTAGATAGCATTCTTTGTGTGATGCAACTATAAAAAGGAAGATTCATAGTTGCCATGGGTTAAGGATGGGGTTGGGCGAGAGGAGGCCTGTGGGTGTGGCTATAAAAAGTTGATCTGAAGGGACCTTGTGGTGATAGAGGTGCTGTGTCTTGACTAATTCATTGTCAACATCTAGTTGCAATAATGTACTGTAATTTTGTGAGATATCTTGAGGGGAGCTAAGTTAAAAGTATTTGGTATCTCTATATTATTACAGCTTCAGATGAATACTCAGTTATCTCAAAGGGGGAGGGGGTGGGGAGGCATTTCCCCAAGTCACAGCTTGGAAGAGTTTGAGTAGAGCACAGACCAAGTCTCAAGATGTCACCCTTGGTAGACTGCCATGGTGTCACAGCTCACAACAACCTCCAACTCTTGGGCTTAAGTGATTCTCTTGCCTCAGCCTCCCAAGTAGCTGGGACTACAGGTGCCTGCCTCAATGCCCGGCTATTTTTGTTGTTGCAGCTGTCATTGTTGTTTAGCTGGCCCAGGCCGGATTTGAACCTGCCTGCCACAGTGTATATGGCTGGCACCCTAACCACTGAGCTGTGAGCGTTGAGCCTACTCCTGTTTTTTGTCAAGTCTAGGGTTTACCCTACAATTACAAACTAATAAATTTGCCTGCTTCTGTTTTTTGGATGCTGGCAAAAAATACACAGCTTCTAGGTCAGGGGAAAGGACATTATCACTCATTCACCGCAAGTAGCCTGAGCACCAGCACGTCTGCTCCAGAGTCCCACAGAGTGAGACTGGCTCCGCAACATGCTGTGTACATTGGATGTTTGTGTTGGGGCTGAAGAACACTGAGTTTGAGGGGGTCCCTGGCTTTTATAGGAAGCAGTAGGAAAGCCCCATCTCTTACGGTTATCATTTGTGTCAACAGCACTGAGAAATGGCCTGGGTGAGAGTGGTCAGGACCTTACAGTCTTGACACAACCCAGTAAAGACTTGTGGGGCACCAGAGGTCCAAGGAGGATTCTATCACTCGGGAAGTAGGAGAAAGATACAGCTGTGATTCTTTTAGAGGAGCAATATGGGGGTTTTGTTTATTCTTTAGAGACAGAACAGTAACCTCAAACTCTTGGGCTCTAATAATCCTCTTGGCTCAGGCTCCTGAGTAGCTCAGACTACGGTGCCTGCCACCATACCTGGCTAATTTTCGAGACAGGGTCTTACTCTTGCTCAGGTTGGTCTCAAACCCCTGAGTTTAAGCAATCTACCCACCTCAGCCTCCCAGAGTGCTGGTATTATACCAGCCACCGTACCCAGCCTGAGAAATCTGTTTTTGATCACAACATCACCTCCTAACATCCATTTAAATTATTGGTGTAGAATAAATTAAGCAAAGCAGGGAACTCTTAAATTGTATTTTTACCATCTAGAACTCTTATGTTGTATCAAAACAAAAAAGGCTGCCTGTTGTCCCAGCTCCTGAATGCTCCCAGAAATCTAGGTGTCTTCTGTGGCATGGCGTTCTTCAGATAAAGGTACCTCAAGACGTTTGG